TTGAGGTTGCTGTGAGCTAGGCTGAGGCCACGGCACTCTAGCCAGGGCAACAGAGTGAGACTCTGTCTCGAAAAAAAAAAAGTCTACATCTCTTTTAATGCTATTCATATTGTGAAACTTGTACACAACTGCCTAACTTTTATCTAATTATTATTAGATGCAAAATAAACCTGTAAAATGCTACTAAAATAAAAGACAAAATGGCTACACTGCATATACATACATATTTTATTTATTCAGCTTATAAATTGCATTACAATGTTTGTGTGTGAATCATCTCTTTTGTCTCTTAACAATCAATTACTTTTTGAGAGATTTCCTAAGCCCAATACTGGCAGTGACGTCAGAATTCAATTCTCATTCAATGAGAATGCTATTCTGAGTGAGGGAGAGTAAACCAAGAACAAGGATGACTTGACCAATTCCTATGAATGCATATAACCTCCTCTGATGCTGACTGATTTTTAAGGGTTGCCCTACATCTCTCCTTTTATTCCATCGATTTGATTTTTCACTTTTCTCTCCTTTGCATGTCAGATTCATTTTTGTTGTGAGCAGTATCATGGCAGCACTCAAAACCAGAAATACTTTCCAGTGAGTTGGGCTGCACTGAGGTTGGCACCGGTTGCTCAAATGTAAGAGCAAATGCAAAGATGAGAGGTAAGTCAGGGAAGTGCAATATCACCAAAGGGAAAAGGAGAGACTTGTTGAACATGAAGACAACACTTCGATTCTCTAACACTCAATTGACACAACTGTAAAATTAGAACATTTGACTTACCCTTCGGCCTCTAACATTGTTTTGATCTTATGACTACAATATACGTTTTTAGAATTAGAGTATGAAGTTAACTTAGAGATCATTTGAGATCCATGGACCCCAAAGTTGTCTATAAATCACCTGAGTTGGATGAAAATCTTTGTGCATTTATTTCTGTAGAGTGGCTCTTTACAAATTTCTGCCAAATACAAAAAAATTTTTCAGGAATCGCCCCTAATCTTTCAATGATTGGGAAATTAAGGCCCACATAAGGAAAAGGACTCCTCCAATTCATGTGTTCAGTAACAGCAATTGGAAACCTCATACTCTGAACCATAGGCTCAGATAAATTATTCTTTATTAGACCTCAGATGGCATCTAGCCTTTCAACTAATAAAGTCTGTCAGTGATATTCAGACTCTTCAACATCAATTCAACATGGTTTACTACCCTGGTATAAGTCTTCTGGCAGATTTTGGATGTTAACGAACCCCTGTTATTACTAACTCACGTTATTTTCTCTCAGCACAGGTCATTCACTGGAATTTAGAATAACAATATTCTGAAATAGTTCCTATAGATGGTAGATAACTGATTATGCTTCCATTAGTAACAGTTCTTCCATACTTTCCCTTTACCCAGATCTCTGCCCGCCTATTTATTTCACAACCAACAAAACCAAAAATCTACAGTGAAGGTGAAATTTGAGTGATCTTGTTATTTTGGGCTCAGCATCAGAGAGATCCTCTACAGCGTGAAAGCTGGTACTTAACGTAATTTCTGGGAAAATGTAGCATATTAAATGTTTTTCGCTGTCCTTCCTGTCACCCCCTAAGCTCTCTCGTGGATCAGATCCAGTCACAAATTCTCCCTTCTGATTTTTAAGTATCTAACAGTTTTGAATTGTCAATCTTAATTATCTTGCTTTAGAAGTACTAACCAGGAAGGAGAAATAAGGGGAAGGAGATTAGGGAAGAAACTTATATTTTATTTTTAAAGAAAGCATTGCTGGGAGGTTAAAATTAATACTGTATTCCTTTCAAATACAGTAATCCTCACTGAGAGAGAAAAAAATACATTAGTAGGTAACACACACTCTCCCCAAGATAAAAGTTTCAAAAATCACAATATTAATGACAGTGTCTCAACAGTTTATTTTGAAGGACAGGGAACAGTATGCCTGGGTCTCTCAGCCCAGACGGTGATTTCCACACACTGTCCTTGCTGAGTTCAATAAATCTGACACTCGTCCTGCTGAGCTGATGTAATCCACTTCTCACCTCTCTTCAATTTGTCTGAATTCCTTTGATCACAATATACAGCTTGATGCTTTTATTCTTAACTAAAAAAAAAAAAAAAAAAAAAAAAAATTTGGATGCTGCCTTTGGCTTTCTTCCAAAAAGCCAACAAGATGACATATTTGAATGCAACAGCCAAACTTTCTACAGCTTAACAATTTTAACTACATTCTGATATTTATTTTTATATATTTTGAAGTTCTTAATAGCATTCTACTTTTAAAAAAAGCACTGTTCTTCCTCCTGCAATCAAACTGTCTGCCTTTTACTATGCTGGAAGTTGTTCTTCATCCTTTTATAAAGTAAGGACATCCAAAGCCAAGAAAGCCAGGGTAGCATTTTGGTCACACCATGTTGATGCCTGAGATGGATTATCCCGGCATATGACTTTAGAAGACCCAGATACCGCAGGTAAAGTCTTGGGAAAAAACGTCTCCTACAACTATTCTGTTTAGGCCACAAGTTTTCTCTTAACTTTGTCCTTAAATCTTTTAGAAAGATATAAGACCCTGACATTCTGTAAGTTTCTCAGCTCCTGTTATTGGGAGAAAGATGTCTTCATAAATCTGTCCCAGAAAAACATGAAAATTTAAACTGTTGGAACTAAAAATTGTATGATGTAAGTGTAGGAATACCTGTGTGACCAGGTGATTCCTTGCATGACCTTAGGTAAATTTCTTCACTTTTCTTGTTCAAATCCATTTTTCTTTTACTTATAGAATGAATGGGAATTATACTTATCTTTTCTGCTCATGCATGGACTAGACTAATGGGATAACGTGAGAGAAACAGCTTTGTGGATTGCTGCATGCTACAGTCCTGGAAGTGATTACCAAAAGAGAGTGCGAAGGAGACAGCAGTAAGAATAAGCACAACCTAAATGGTCTCCAACAGAGGTGCTAAAAATGTGACTACAGTAATTGCACAGGCTTAAGCTGAGTGTAATGCATATGATTATTGGCTTTAAAATGAAACAGTTCTGGGCCTTTTCTTTTTCTTTTTCTTTTTTTTTTTTTTTAAGCCAGAGTCTTGTTCTGTCGTCCTGGCTAGAGTACAGTGGCATCATCATATATCATAGTTCACTGCAACCTCAAACCCCTGGGCTCAAGTGATCCTCCTGCCCCAGCCTCCCGAGTAGCTGGGACAACAGATGCATGCCACTGAGCCCAGCTAATTTTTTTCTATATTTAGTAGAGACAGGATCTTGCTCTTGCTCAGGCTGGTCTCAAACTCCAAGCGATCCTCCTGCCTTGGCCTCCCAGAGTGCTAGGATTACAGGCGTGAGCCATGGCACCCGGACCTGGGCCTTTTCATGATTGATGTGTCTGTGTCATGGTGAACACATCTAAT